CCACCATTTCCTCATAATGAAGAGTATTATTCTTGCTATTTTAACCTTGGTGGTGATTTTTATGGTCGTTATTACATTATGTGAAGCCACATATGAACTGGAGTCATGACCCCAGAGACTGAGCAAGGAATGCTTGGACAGTCCTAGAAATCAGATACCCAGTGCTGCTGAGAAACTGAGTGTACCATGGTAGAGGCTTTTTAAAGCTCAGGATTATATTGTACAAGGAAGCAGTTTTAATCCTTGTTAAAATAATACGGTGGGATAGCTGTGAGTGGGGGAGGTTTGCTTTATCTTTCAAGGTGGTTTGGCCTGTCCACTGTCTCATTTCATGAGACTATGGCAGTTGAAACTAAATAAAATCTCACAAAGGCAAAGGAAGGAATAAACAAGGTGCTCATTCTCACTGTAACTTGAGATTTTCTTTCCTTCTGTAAGACTCCTGTGTGTGTGTGTATATGCTATCCTTTGTTTTCTGGTCTGGAATTGTGTGTCTGGCTGGGTTTTTATAACTAATAAGTTAACCGTATCTTTTGTGATTTACTTGCATTTCAAAATTCTGGCTAGTGTCAGCTGGAAGGTAAAGCCAAACCTTGCTGCAAAGCCAGTGCTGGTAGCCAGAATGTTAATTTCTGAGTTTTGTGTCTTAGCATCTATGAAAACTCTTTTCTCTGGGGGGGTATGTGTGTGTGAAATCCATTCCCTGTGGAGTGAATAATGCTTTCATCCCATGCAACACCTGTTTTGGAGACTTTAGCAGCATGTTTACATTACTTGCTTCCTTGCTTAGTAAACTGTAAACTACAGACCACCAGGTTTGGAAGCAGGCATGTGTGTGAGGGCGGGCAGCTGGGATGAAATGAAAATGTGCCAGCTGGAGCTATAAGGACTTGAATAAATAGCTGAAACAACAGCCAGTGAGTGTTGATTGCAACCCAGAACCTTGTGGGGGCTAGCAGGTGTGATGATTTAAAAGCAAATAATTATGGAGGGAAGGGATGCCATCCAGAGGGACCTTGACAAGCTTGAGAAGTGGGCTTGTGCAAACTGCATGAAATTCAACAAGTGCAAGATTCTGTACCTGGGTCGGGGCAGTCCCAAGCAAAAGTACATGTTGGGTGGAGAATGGATTGAGAGCAACCCTGAGGAGAAGGGCTTGGGGGTAATGGTGGATGAGAAGCTCAGCATGAGCCAGCACCATGTGCTGGAGCCCAGAAACCACCCGTGTCCTGGGCTGCATCAAAAGCAGCAGGGCCAGGGAGGGGATTCTGCCCCTCTACTCTGCTCTGGTGAGACCCTGCCTGCAGTGCTGTGTACAAATCTGAGCCCCCCAACACAGGAAGGACATTGAGCTTCTGGAGTGAGTCCAGAAGAGGCCATGGAGGTGACCTGCGGGCTGGAGCAGCTGTGCTCTGGAGACAGGCTGAGAAAGTGGATGTTGTTCAGCCTGGAGAAAAGAAGGCTTCAGAGAGACCTCATGGCAGCCTTCCAGTGCCTGAAGGGGCTCCAGGAAAGCTGGGAAGGAACTTTGTTCAAGGGCTTGTAGTGAGAGGATAAGAGGTAACAGATCAAAACTGGAAGAGGGGAGATTTAGGTGAGACATTAGGAGGAAATTATCACTAGGAGGGTGGTGAGTCATTGGAACAGGTTGTTCTGAGAAGTTGTGGCTGCCCCATCCCTGGAAGGTTGGATGGGGCCTTGACCAACCTGATCCAGTGGGAGGCGTCCCTGCCCATGCATGGTGTTGGGACTAGATGATCTTGAATGTCCATTCCAACCCAAACCAGTCTAGGATTCTATGATAATTAAATAAAGAAAGCATGGAAAGGGGAAGGACCAGCATGCATGCAAACAGGGAAGCACAGTCATGATTTCCAATCACCTTTCAATGGGTTTCCTTATCAGAAGAAATCAAGCAGCCTAGGTTTAAGGGGTAAGGTTGTTACACAGGTTAAGAAAAAAAAGAAAAAATAATACAGGAAATGGAGGGTAGGAACTGCTGATGGATTTTTCCTAGCAGAGACAGGTCACCAGTGGAGATAGGTCTGCAAGGATCTGAGCTGCTCAGCATGTTGTAAATGACTGGGGAAAAGAGGTGAGAAGTTAAGTGGTGCTGCAAATGCAGCACTTTTATTCAAAGTAAATAAGATAAATTGTTTCTACTGGGAGGATTGTAAAAGGACATGGTGAGACTAACTGGGCTTGAAAATTGCAGCTCTGTGAAGTAATGCATGTGGTAAAAATGATCTTATCTGTTGGGTGGAATCTGGGATAACTTACTGCTCAGAAGCTGAGTTTTGAGTTCATTATAGTTGTCTGGAAGTAGCTCCAATTTCTGTATGCTAACTAGAAGTGGTGTTATATGGGAATACAGAAAATGAAGAGCATTGTGGGTGCAGCATGGATTTATCATATAGTTTACTGTTTTGAGTATTGTGCATTTCTGATACTCTGGTCTGAAAGGCTATAGATCATTTGGGAAAAAAGGAATGGCTTGGAAATAATATTGCAAATGTTTAAGTAGAAAGGATTAAATGGTACATAGCATCCACAAAGAGAAAAAAATAAGAACAATGCATGCAGCTCCTTGCCACACGATGTTTTGTGTGCTGGAAAGTTTCTTGGGTGTAGGGA